GTTTGGTGTAAAAATATTCAAATATAATATCGACCTGACGGACGATCGCGTGATGGATAGTAGTAGACGTCACATTCGAATCCGTGTACCGTATTACGCGGCGAAAATGTGACGTAATGTTCCGCCGTCAAAGGACGCACATAACCGTAACGAACTGTGTGTCGGCTGACTGAGGCCATCTTCTGTACACACGTATCCGTACAACGCCCGTAACTCGTCCTCATCGTTTTCCTGCTGGCGTTAGCTGTAGTCTAGTTTGACTAGTTTGACTGAGTCGAACGCGAAAACTATGTTTGAAATGTTCAAAAACAGTGAATTAGCAGTCCATCGTACATGCGTTAGAATTAGAAGACGCGACGTGGAGAAGTCCAAAGAATGTGGGTACACAACTCTTGGAGAACGATTCTTGTTGTTCGATAAGCTTTTCCGTGTCAATGATTCAACATGATGTAAAAACGAGGAAAATAAATCAATAATCCAGTGAGTACTAGAAAAAATGACGACTGTCGTTTGAAAACGGCGCGGGGAAAATAATTCAAAACAGCCGTACGTCATGCAAACGCGTATCGTAGTCTCGCCGTCAAGGGATCGCGGACGACGATGCTCGGAAGTATTATCGCCGCTACCGGAAACGAACGATAAACGACCGTCGAACGGACGCGGTCGCGGACGACAGGAAATCAACGAAAAACGTGGGAGCGTCCGACGCGCGCAAATATTATCGTCCGCGATATCTGAATAATCCATCGAAAACAATACACATCTCATGGTAACCGCGACGGTTTCTGTTAGTTCTGACATTTTTAAAATCGTTCTCGGTCCCAGGATTTTAAAACTACGAGTGTATCATATTTGCTGCCTCGGTCGACCATTATATCCCAACAAATACATGCTTTCGTGTAATATAAAATGCTTTCGATAATGTTAAAAATAACGATTGGTCACATTTTACAAAATTAAATTATGATCGATAGTATTTCAATACATCGCTATTATGCCATTATTCCTCTATAATTATATTTTTTATGTTTCAAAAATATATCAAATCAGTGAAAAAATAGTAAACGTAAAAGATTAAAAATGCGTATTTCCGAACAATTATTTTTATCCTAGTCCGTATTTGTATCCTTAGTGTCCTTAAGATTTCGATATTTTTGACGAAAATATTGATATTTATGATAAAATACCCATAAAATGCAGAAGTATTTCTAAATAAACTTGTCAACAGAAAACAAACAAAATTCATATTTTAAAATGTTATTGTATCAGATATTATGTTATAATGCACATATAAATATATATTTTTGTGATGATAATATGCAATATTACGTTTTAACGGCCTATTCAGATAAAATTTCTCTTGTTTTTCCATCGACGTAAATATTTTGTATGCAAATAGTATTCATTTTTATGAATATTTTCTGAATAAAATATAATCTGTATGGCTGTAAGTACCGGTTTTGGACACAATTATGATTATGACATTCGTGAGATTCTGTGACGGTATATTTTTAATTTATAAAATTAATTTTTATGATAATTTATGCACCGTAATATAATTGTTGGTGTGTTTATTCAAATTAGATACTTAATATTATTTTTTGATTTACATGAACTACTTACTTCAGCAGATACAAATCAAATGATCAATTTAAAAAGTTGATTATTGAATTAGTTGATATGATATAATATACAATTTAATAATTATACGAATAACAAATATATTTTTTACCAAGTTAATTTGATTTAAAAACTAATCGTCCAATAAACAAAACTATCGAATTATCAGATGTTTGAAATGATTATATATTATAGAATACGTTATTTAAGGTGATACAAAATATTAAAATAATAGGACTACAGGAATACAGGATATGTCATAAATGATGAATTAGGTTAATTTTTATCATTAACAATTACTCAATAAATTCAATTAAAACCCATACAGGTGGTTAGTTACAAATTACAGTTATACGTTACAAGACTGTCATTCAAAGAACTTGATTTTCAGGTAAAACAATTATCGATTATAAGTACTTATTAAAAAAATTGTATTTTGTTGTAACATATCATTTTTGAAGAGCTCTCATTGACGTATGAAATCGAAACAAAAATTTACGGAGAAAAATATTTTATTTACTAACTCTATTTAAAAATGTATACTTAAATACCTATTCTTACGTGTGCGTAGAACCCGGGGCATATCTCGGAACATGATCATTTCGATCTTATTGAAGTTCTTATAGAGTGTTTTTGGTTGAATTTCCCAATGGTAAACGGTTACAATGAACAGCAAGTACGTTAGATATGCAAATTATGACCGAATTTGCAACACAATTGTATCGGAAAATACTCCTCGTAAAAATACAAACGTAACCCGATCCAAGTCCTAGTGCCTACACTGAAACGTTCACTGTACATCATGACAAAACAGTAACATTAATGTAATAATACTTATATTTGATGAAATTCTCGTTAACTATTAAATTTAATGTTATCCCGTCACGACCATAAGAATGCCGGTTGCGTTTAATTTTTTTTAATAAACTCAAAGACCTCGGACAGGGGCCATGAAATGGACTAGTTCTTTTTTTCTTGTTAAACAGTGTGACGCGGAAGACTGTCGCCGTCGTCATTGCATTCGACGATTTGCCGCACGATCTGCGGTATAACTAACTCGGCGGCGGCCGTTTTCTTGCGGAATGTCCCTGAACGTTATGGTTGGAGATAGTTTATTTTTTAAATTCGTCCGAAGGAAAATCAAATAATTAACCGACCGAAAACCTTGGTGTTTCATAAATTACTTCTTGCCCTTACGTACCAAATGCAATTTAATTACGATCATAATATTTGTCGTTCCACAAACCTTTCAACGCTCTCGTCCGCGAAACAATGAAATTTGTCACATATCTGTTCGTTTATCGAATCATGTGTACAAAAATATAATAAGCGCACTACGAGTTTACATGCAGAGTGTTGATGTGTATATAGACTGTCGACTCGTTTTTTAATCAATGTTGAAATTTACACTCCAATGGGTTAAAAATATACAGAATTATAACGATTTATATGAATTAAAATACGATGTAAAACATGAAATGTTTTGTTATTTTCATTTGAAACATTATTGCATACATGTTAAAACCGTTCGTGTAAATTATTTATTATTACGCATTGTACGAAAACATACGTAAATACTAAAAAATTTAAATCAATTTGCTAAATAAATTATTATTATTATAAATGTCATTTTTTATATAAGTGATTGTATATGTATAGAATATGAAAACAGTTTTAGATTTTATTTAAATTAGCAAACTAAAGAAATATATTTTATTTGATATACTTCCAGACAAGTATACACCGTTCTAATCTGCGCGAAATTTTCGGAAAAAACTGCGCTCTACGTATCAAAAGAAGTATGAATAGACATATTACTAAAAATCAAAACGATATGTTTGTATAATTTCGCAAATGCAAACTGTAAAAAGCCATAATAAAATAGGTACAATTTTGTTAAAAATACTTTTCAAAAGTATTTCAAATTATTTTTCCCGTAATATCTTTAAATATTTTTTGTCGATAACAACATTTACATATTTCGTCACCTCATCTCGTCGACAATAAGTAATTTCTGTAAAACTGAAAAACCAAACTAAAAATCTTGTTGGAAAATTTTGTATTTAATATTTTAAAATACAAAATATAATAATAAGTGTTTGAAATATATTTGAAATATTCTGTCCAAAAATATTTCAAATGTATTTAAAATACAGAAAAAGTATTTGAATTCTAATATTTAAATATTTAACAAGTATGGATAGATATTAATATAAATATTTCGTTATTTTCAATGTTATACTATTATAATTTTAAAGGTAAAACAATAATATTGCTATACATTTAAATTATGCAGCGTTTCAGTTAGACATTTGTCATTTTTTCGCAATTTATTCCAAAAATCATAAACAACCAAAAGTTCTTTTGAAATAGATGGCTGCAAATGCATGAACTTGCGCGTTCATTATGTTCATCGTCGGTGTGCCCGTGTGCACACGTGATGTGTTGCCAAATAGATCCGACTCTTGATAAGTTACTGTATTATTAATATATGTAAACATTTCTCTTGATCTTTGGCATAACTCAACCATTTTCTGTGTTTGCTGTCACGAATCGCACTTAAACACAATACGAACGTACATCATTACATCATTAAGACATTCGATGGTTACCATGACATAAGCTAAGCGATCTTATCTCCGAAAACGATTACGTTGTCCACGCATTAAGTACCTATAACGCTCACGAGTCGTCAAGCTTGTAAAAAAAATTCTATAAACAGCATTAGTATGTTGTTTTGGTGCATATTTGACTTGTATAATGTTCATAAACTTGCGTGTATTATTTTGTCCTACATTTTTTTGCGAGTAGTCCGTTAAAACTAACACATAGCGAATTGCGTTAGAGCCGCGATTATTAATTATCACAGTTATCTATGTTTGTGGATTATTGTCTGTCGCAGAACCTTTCTAAGGATAGGAAAGCAACGTCCGGGTTCTTAGGTTCTAAGGAAACAATATTATTTCTATTCTAGTAACTATATCGAGTTCAAACTACATAGTTTCTCTAAACTAAAGATCCATAAAAAGTTTTTGAAAACAGCAACTACGTCACTACATAAAATACTAATTAGTAATAACTGTCATAATAAAACTATTACTATGTAGTACGTATATTTTTGAATAAAGCACTATATGGTCAGTCATTTTTATACTAAACAAAATTATTTTGTATAGTGCATGATGATAACCGGCACTTTTGTACATATCAGAAATTCGCACAAGTACGATTTAGCACTTTGTACGTAATTTGAACAATAACCATTTAATGTATTTGTATTGTACTTTGTTTTTTGGTCTTTGTTATGATATTTAAGTACGAATTACTCGGGTTAGCAATTTAAGACAGATTTTAATAATTGTTTATGTTTTGTTCTATAGAAATTCAAAATGGGGTTCGGTTCCAAAGACGAGTGGTGTGGATCCGCCGTTAAGTACAGCATGTTCTTGTCCAATTTCATCATATTTGTGAGTGATCCGATGTTTTATGAGATTTTTTTCATTCTCTCGCGGCAATACTACTATAGTTTCACATAAACCCGCTCGTTTTCTTTCAACAAAATGTTTAATCATATTGATCGGACGGTATTGCTTGTAGATCGGAGGTATCGTGCTTGTGGTCATATCGGTGTACACCCTGTATGACAAGTCATTCATCAAAGAACTCTTGGGCACCAACCTGTTCACCGGAGCTGTATACGTATTGATCGTCACGGGCATTTTGTTGTCGTTCCTGTCGTTCTTGGGATGTGCAGGTGCTGTAAAGGAAGTCAAATGCATGCTGCTGACGGTGAGCAAAATTAACTTGGACAGACGGACAAGCCGTAGTGACCCAGCTTTAATACACCAAGGGAAGAAGGGTGGCAAAAAAGAAGAGAAAAATTAACAAAAACTTTTTTTGTTCTACTTTGTTTAAAAAAAAAAACCGTCTCCTAGTTCTTAATTACATTACAATTTAACGTACCAATGTTTTCAAATAACGATTGAATACTAAGACGCAGTGGCGTAGCCAGAGGGGGGTCAGTGGGCTATACTCCCTTCAATTGACCGTATCAACATTTTTGTATAATTATACTATTGTTTATTTCATACATTTGAAAAATTCGTTGCACTCGCTTTTGCTCTTAATTCTTATCAATTTGTATGATAGTAATTGTATTTTCAACAAATCCGAAAATTTTGCAGAATCGTGTAGGTTTTCATAACTATTCATAAATATAAACGATTCCGCAAATTCCATATATATATATATGCAGTGTTGCCGTTGCCGTAACATTAATTTATAAATGCTTAACGATATTGATGTACATACAGGTGTTTTGATTCATATAGGTACTAGTAATTTATACATGGTGATAATAATAATTTTAAAAAAAATATTTATTTTATTATTTTATTTTATTGTAAATGATATTGAAACATATTTTAATCATAAAAAAATAAACACAAAACTGATCAGAATCGCAATAAAATAATTATTAAAAAACAGTAAATTTTAAAAATAAATTGATTGTTGAAAAAATTTAACTAATTATAATTAGTCATACACTTTTGCCATGGTATCTATGGCTAGTTATTGATAAACATTTGAATAAATTAGAATTACTATTATAAGATTTATACTCATAATATGCCCTAATTATAGTTGAAATGCGTTCAGTTTTGTGTAATGTCATCTTCTTTACTCCATTAAAATTAACTGTACTTATTTTCATTTCTGTCTCAGCCTTTTTCAGACTTCGGATTTTAACGATCGTACGGCAACGCTGTATTTGAAATCATGCGGAATTGTGTATATATACACAATATTTATAGAATCGCTTATGTTTATAAATGATTATGAAAATTTACACGATTCCGCAAATTTTGTTGAATCGTCATCCCCACCGGCAAAGACGGAACGCGTTCAGAGAAACTCGATTTAAAATATAAATACATATATGGTATATATAGTGTCGGCCTGACCATAGGCTAAGCCGCGAATGTATCAGGGGCTCCCATTTCTAAAGATTTATAAATTATCATGATAATCATTGTAATTTATATTTTATATTGCTTTAATTACTGGTAACCTTTAGTGAACTAAACTACTGTTATAAAAAAAAAATCAATTGTACAATTTGTATATCATAAGATAATATTTATATTATTTATATAACATATAAATAATATCTTACAAATAAAAACCGAATTTATATGCTTTATAGGATGCTTAGAAATTGAATAGAATAACTTGGTTATTTAATAAAATAATGAGTTACATACCTTACCAGCTACATATGTACATCGTTACCAACTAAATGTATTTTAATGACAAAATTAAAAACAATTATAATACGTGTCGATGTTTTTTTTTTTTTTAAATATTTCAATTGTAGTAAAATTTAATCAAAATAAAATGAAATACGATATTTACATTTGCATTACATTTTATGAAAAAAAAAAACATTAATAATAATAATAATAATTAATCAAATGAAAGTATTGAAAAACTCATTAAAAACAATAACAGTTGAGGTACATGATAATATCGCAAAAGCACGAAGCTTATGCTGTCGACTCGACCCATGTCCGTCCGTCGGAGCAGTGGACAATGGTTGACGGTCGCCGCGTTTACGTTTACATTGACGTTTGGCTCGTATTGTTGCAGTATTTCATCATACTGTTTATCATATTCGTCGTGATGCTGGTCGGAGGGATCCTGTGCTACGTGTTCCGCCAGAGAGTGCAGACGACCATGCAACAGGAGATGCTCAGAACCATTCGGTTCTACGGCGAGGACCGGTCCATAACGAGGGCGTGGGATGACCTGCAGGAAGGGGTGAGACCGGGCGGCACGGCGTTCGCGGGCTGGCACTAATCGTTTCTCTCGTTTCAGCTGCACTGTTGCGGCGTCACCACCTACGATGACTGGCGGCAGTACAAGACCGACGGGATCATTCCCAGCAGCTGCTGCAAAGAGATCAACGGAAAGGTTAGTTTGTATTAGAAAGGTTAGGTTATCCGTCACCCGACCGGTACAGCCCGTCCAGCTCGTCGTCGGGCGAACGCGCGCAATTAGAGTAAAACATTTGGGGGGGCTTCAACCCCTCCCATATATTTTTCAATAACTGCTTCTCAGAAACTTTTTTTCCATCCTTCACCCTCTATAAAAAATTTGCTTATTAGAAGGCAAGTAAAACTTAAAAATAAAAATAAATTTCATTTTTTCAGTAGTAATCACATATATTTTTTTTTATTTATCAGTATAATAATATAAAGTTCTGTATGGTTTTTTAGGGGGGGACTTTGAATGTTTTTAGGAGGCTTAGCCCCTCCAGCCCCCTCCTAATTGCACCTATGCTGTTGCGCTTTAAAGAACGGTTCAATGAAAGTTAGCGGGTGACGCGTTAGTTTATTTCGCGAGCGGAATATTGTTTCGTGCCGAGAGTTAGGACGACCGAACAAAAACGACAACGTACTCCTGGGAATCACGTTGTTTGCAATCCGCACCGGTCGAGATTCTGGCCAATTGCTGGGTTCTCTCTAGTATTCGTGCGTAGGGTTGCCATACATTTTTAAGGCGAAACCGGGACAAAACAAACACAGCATTGAATAATATAATTTTTATATAACTTTTAATATATTGAGGGTACCATTGATGGCTAGCAATATAATATTTAAAAATATTTATGTAAAATAAAATATATTACATATTTATATATGTAAATTACAAATTATGATTTTGTTATATATTGTTCATCGATTACGAATAAAAATGTACATTGAGATAAAATAGTCGAAATTAAAAATTAAGCAATTCTACATTTCCTCTAAACGTCTAAGCCAGTACATACAGTCGTCACGAAAACATTTTTCGGGACACCAGGACACGAAGTCCAAAACCGGTGACAACCCCGGTTTTCCGGGACGTATGGCAATCTTAATCGACCGGCTTGTTGCCGTTTACTGTGTACATTTCGGATGGAGCGTAATATTCGTTTCGGTATTCAATCGGTATCGTCACGATAACGCGTTCGTGGCCATTCGATTTTCTCACTTGACGTCGAACATCAAGACTGATTGTTCCGATGCATTCGGTTATTGTTTCCACTGATTATCGAACAAGAAATCTAGAATTACTTCGTGTGGTTTGAAATTTACGCTTACTGTTTTATAAATGGTTTTATACTTATTTTTCAAAATTTAAGACACCTCATACCAGTGGCGTATACAAGGGGGGTGTTTGGTAGATATGACACCCCCCTTGAGTCGTATCATATATTACATTATTATAGGAATATAGGTAAATCGATAATACAATATGAAATATAAAATAATGCTCAATACTAATTACATATATACAGGTTAACATTATCGCGATTGCGACAAATACGTGACGAAAATTATTCGTTTACGTTTTCGTGCAACACAAAACGTTTAATAGTAATAGGTATTGTAGCATCGAATATTGATATTCGAATAGTCAAATATTCGAATAATTTACGGTAAAGCTATCCGAATTCGAATATACATTACATCTCTATTACAGACATTATGTATACATATTAATTAATTAAAATAAAAATTTTAGTTTGTACGTATTATATATAATATTTAATAATTATAATTAACACCCCCTTCAGAAAATCCTAGCTACGCCACTGCCTCATACCTAGTATATAGGTGGTAGATATTTTATGAAACGTTTTTCTTTATCATTTTTATATCAGTCGTTTTATAAATTCTATACTTTTCTTAAATTACGTCCCTTATTGAATCATAGACGTATAGACGTAAAGATTAGAATTAAAAAAAAAAAAAAAAAATTGGATTCGTTTTATTTTCATTGTGTTTTGACGATTTAAATGTTTTCAAAGTACAATATACCTAAATTAACTACTAAGGGTTACTAAACAAACATGTTAAATACATTTTTCATTAACTTATACTTTCGATATTAGTCGATTTAATAATAAGTTAATTTCATTATTTTATTAACGTAGTAAAAGGTAGACCGAAGTGTAAAATGTCTTCAAATAACTTAAAATTGATTCGTTTTTATTTGTCAATAACATATACGGTATGTAAAAAGGTTATTATTTATTAATCAAACTAATAGTTTAAATTTTCAATTGTTTTTGAATTTAATACGAAAGGATATAAAGCGAAACTTAAGTGCGTTTTTTCATAGTTTTTTAAACCACGGTTAATGAATAATTTGAATGAATAATTGATATGAGTTTAATATGAATAATTCGTTCTTTAATATAAAAAAAACATTATTTATCGAAGGAAAAAAATGTTTCGTTTTTGTTATTGTGGTAAAATCAATTAATATACTATTTAAATGAGTTATTCTTATTAATAAATGGATGGTTTATTATAGTAAAACGTTTAACAAATAACTAAAGCACGAGTAACAAAGTTAGTAGGTACTAAAACTTTGACGACGAACGCGAGAGAAAACTTCATTTTTGCATACTTGTTGCATATTTTTTCACTGAATATTTCTGAAGTCGTGGACCGTTAAAAATACATGTTCAACGATTAGACCATTAAAGTTATCTAATTGAGTAAACATAATAAACACTTTTTATGCATACATCTGTTCGATCTTTCAATGCGTACGTAAATCGAAAACATTAAAAAATCAGTCATTATTTCAGGACGCGGTACACGCGCGTAAAAAATTTTTTCTTCAAAAACGAACTCGTTTTTTCAGAGACAACCGTGCGACAAGAATTTCCAAGCAAGCCTGCAGATATACACGTCTGGCTGTCTGAACGTGACTACGGCTTTCATGAAGGACAACGCGACTACCGTCGGAACCGTCGGGATCGCCGTGTCGCTGTTTCTGGTACGTAAAAACGTTGTTTCAACCTTCGTACGATATATATATATATATACATGCCCTAGAACAGTGCCCTTACACAATTGACGGATGTCTAATCGTTCCGTTACAGCTCACACGGGTATCTGTAAGAACGTCGTTGTAACAATATACATATTATTGCTCAGAGGTAGAACTAGGAATTTTTACGCAAGGGGAAAATGTTAAAATTATGCCCTATCATAGACCAATAATCAAATACTCTTCTCGAAAATTTTTTTCTAATAATTAATATACAATCGTACTTATTGAGTTTTAACCTAATTTGTATTTAACAAAGTTAAAAATATTAAATTAGTTGTTAATAATTACAAAAATTACACCTTCTAAAATGTTACGCTCGGGGATGAATCCCCGTCTTCCGCCCTCTAGTTCCGTCCCTGTTATTGCTATCGATTACACTGCTATAGCTGTGACGATTCTTAGGTGTCTGACGTAGGTAATTTTCGTGTAAACTGCTCAATGAAGACGCGTTGAACCGGACGAGCAATGAACACGTACGTGGGTCCGCTCGAAATTAGCTTTGAAAAATGTTCATCCATTGTCGTACAGGTGACCGAACGCCGGCCTAAAAGCTCGTCTTTATGATCTCCGTGCAGTTTAGATGGATTTTTTTTAACGTTTCGCTCCCGAAGTTCTTTCGTCGCGTCACTGAAGATATTATGTAACTAATTGCGTACGCCATACGCCCATGTAGAAAGTTGTACTTGTATGGCTGGTCAGCCAAAAAATTAGTCTACGCCACCGTTGCGTAATATCGGAATACTGCATTGCACTGTTTATGAGTATGACAATAGTTAACTTTATAACTTAATAAGGGCACTTACTGTAGAATACACGAAAAATTAACATATGTTTATCGTAACAAAAACAACACGAAAAGCAAATGAATAATTATGGAATCAACGATTTTTAAAAATATGTGATATTTTTAAAATACTTTAAGGTATCGTCATATTTTAAAGCGTAAGATTGGTAAAACGGTCAAATATTTTGCCGACAGCGTGCATACACTTTTTATTACTTTTTATAAACACCAAATACACTTGTAATAAAAATATTAACTAGGCCTCGGAAGTCTGTGCACTTGCAATCTTTTTTTTACTCTTCGCATGTATTGCTAAGTAGGCTGTATAATAGTTCCATGGAAGTACGAATTAAAATCTAAACATTTTTATTGCAACTTTATGCAGTTTTTGAAATTTTTTCGATTCGATTGCAATTCTGTTGATTTTCCTATATATATTTTATACTATATCCTATTATATATATATATATATATATATGAATTCATTTTAACTTTACATAAAAAATAAAATAACAATGGGAGCCGTGTCAGAATAATATAATAAACAATGGTTATTTCAAGCTTTGTCTATTATAATGACAGTGATGGTAATATTATTTGATAAGAAGATGCACGAGTTGTACAACTTGCTGCCCTCAAATCGGAGATTTTTCGAGTTTAAGAACTTAAAAAAATAATTTATCTTGCAATGCAATCATTTTTAAGGTAGACACACTAATTTGTATTAAACAATAAAATAAAAAATTTTTAAATGTTGATAATTTTGTTTGCAAGTTATTTTAATTTTAAAATATTTTGTAAAATAACTCAAATATTTAATATGCAGTCTTAATACAAAATTACTTGTACATTTTTTTTTTTTTATTTAATTATTTATGTAAATAAGAAAGTTAATGGCAACTTTTAAGGGTAACTAAGTATTTTTATCGCAATAATGCAAATAATGCAATTTTTAGGTGCAATTTTGGTTATTTTTTACTTCAATAAAGCAATCAATTTTAATGTTTTATAGTATAATAACTTTCGACAAAATATTTCATTTAAGTCGATTAACGATTTCTATTAGTACTTGGACTATTCGCTACATAAGATTTCCTATTGAAAATATTAGTCCTAAAACATAATATTATATCAGTCCATAAAATTCTATAAGAGTGACGTTATTACACGAATTATTACAATTTTTTTTTTTTTAACTGTTCATCATTCTTATCCCGAACGGACATGTTTACGCCGATCTGTTACAGTAAAACGGCTAATGTGGTATATTAAAATATATATGTTTTAATTAAACTGTGTACTAGTGGATTCAGTTATCATATTTTCATTATTGCTTTCCTCGATCGATTAATATTATTATTATTTTTTTCAGATTTTCGGTTTGATCTTTTCGTGTGCGCTGTTCATGATGATCGTTTAGAAAGGAATAACCGATGACATTAACCAGCGGAACAACCGAAAACTCATAGTCTCGAAAAACAATTACACAAAAATAGCAATTCACATGGGGGGGGGGGGGGGTTAAATTTCCGTATAGAAATAATTTTTAACACATTTTCGGTCGTCTCGGTGACGATATGCCAAAAAAAAAAACCCGACCAGCACGATTTGTAATTTTCTAAAACATCGCAGTTAATCCGTTCACACGAAACAAAATCAATGACCGAACAAGGAATGCCCACTGCCTGCGGATCTTAATAATTAAGACCCACAAGCAGTGAATTATTCACGTTCTATATCAAATATGTACCAGGTTTTCACACATATTGTACCCCGTTTCACCATCGTTCCGCAAAAATCCAACCGCCGTTCATCCGATGGCAATCTAATAAAAAGTCTTCGCTATGTACTAAAAATTTTCGTTCTCCACTCAATGTTGTACTACGAATTGCGTGTATATATTTAATTTTATTGTCTATATCAGTGGTTTTCAACCTGGGGTTCACGAATCATAGGTTTGGGGGTCGCCAAAAATAATGGATGAAATTACTTTTCCATATTATTTTAAAAAAAAAGTAAATTATTTATTTTGTGAAATTTTTAAGTGTAAATTAATCAAAATTGTTTATCATGTAAATATTTTATCAGTAATTAAATCAAATTTTGATGAATAAAACAATTTTTTTTTATGAGGGGTCACAATACAAAAAAAAAAATTTGGGGTCGCAATCCGAAAAAGATTGAAAACCACTGGTCTATATTATAATTGCAAACGGTACCTAAACTATTTATCTGACCAATTTCGAAATGATGTTACGCAAACACACTTAACGACCGTGTGCACACATTCGATGGCCCGATTACATACCACGTAGAAAATACGATAATCGACGTAATTTACGAATATATTTTTAATAAAAATGTTATACATAAATATAACGAAACGCCGTACTTAGGTGTAATAGTATCGGAAGCATAAAACGTAATTGAAACCACGACGACGCGCAGTTTCACACATTTTACTGTCACGTCTTATCCATTATTATTATTATTATTGTTGCTGTATTTTAATTGTAATGTGTTTTATCACTTTAAGTACTACTATTGCATTGTATAATACTATTATTATATCTTAGGTATATCTTATAAGTTTACCGCGCATAGGTATCGTGTTTTTGTACTCGTGCCTACTTGTAACTATGATAATATCTTTTATACCAATTGTAATTATTTAATACTTATGCCATTATGTGTATAATGTTATGATTGTACACACTAAGTCGTAATGAGTTTGAATAACTTGTATCAGTGGCGTGTGTGCTGCAACAAGTCTCGTCGACTCGCATTAAATTTTCAAAGTTTTAACATTCTTAATCCGAATTTAGCGTTACGTAGGGTTGTGTTTACAGTAATTATACATCTCTTTCTTTTTAGTAACCTGACAGTATTGTATAGTTGGTAATTTTTTCCGACATTTTTCAATTAATCTTTTGGGAGTGCCATAAAATATTAAAATAATAATGTACATCCGTTTTACTTTTTCTTGGAAAATGTGTTAATGTATAAATTAAATTATTTATAATGGTATATTAATTTTAAAATTTATTTAATTATGCCTTACGTCCATGATATTCGCAGTTTTCAACTTTTATTTTGATAATCAAAATGCGTATAACATATACAATACCAATGACCTCAGAAACCCCTTGATGACTTTAAAATATTAATATTTAAAGTTCTTTCATCATGAAACAAGTTTCTTTTAATATTTATATTTTCTACTTCACACACCTGACAGTAGTTTCTCGATATTTTTCAAGGCATGTTCCCTTTAGAAAACGATTTCCTCTCAACGCTTTTCTACTTTCTCACTCTTTCTCTTTCTCTCAAATAATAAAAAAATAAAAATACGATTTGATCAAGGATTTTAACTGTTTGGTAGCCTAAAAACATCACTGGTAATATTGTGTATAGATATATTTGTGTAATTAAACTAATTATTCATCCTAGAATTACATTTTACGCGTTTAACATTATAATATTTGCGTATTAAAAACCGTTTTTCGATCACGCGGAACTAGATTATAATTCATCCACATCTAATTGTAATATTTATATATAACAATATGGTATAATTATAATAAATTAATTGTAATCTCGTCGGTATTTTGGCGATTAGTTACGACTTCTACGTATACTTAACCAACGTACTGATATACGAGTAGTACGTTATTCATTCTTGTAACTTGTAAATTATTTGTATAACGTTTATTTTATTTATTATAAAGTACATTAAAATTATATGTACATATATGATATATTTATGTAAACAAAATGTATTGTATTTTATTCAATATTATAATCATGCAATAATACATAATATCCGAGATAACGATATCGACGTCGATGGTCAAGAAGTTGACTGTTTAATGTTTTCAAGATATCTACAAAAATAGTTATGCACTTAAAGGTCTATCAGAACTCATCAATAAGAATAACAATTATTAATTAATAACCTTATACGACTAAGTTTTTAGACAGAAATTACTCACACGAGTAGATATGTGTCAAAAGTATTGAATTGTTTCTTAAAGGACATCTTAACATTAAAAATAATTTTGCTTGGATTGAATGTTGGTTGTGATCTAGTAAACATGGTGTACGTGGGTCTTCCGCTTTATATCTAATTATTCAACAAGATACAAGCGTATGAAAATATGAGCTTGACGTTATAGAGCTGAAGTCTGAACGACGCGTAGTATATGTTTTACGTGTAAAAGTGTCTAGATTAATACGGTATAAATGTGTTTACGCCACTGGTGTGATTATAAATTTGAAATACTTTATAGTTTTTTCATAGCAAATATATAAAACTATTAGAGTAAATTTCGTAAAATTTGTTTGGCCGTTGGTTACGTCAACGCGGCGGAAATGCAACGGTTTTCGTTGAAATATTATATAGGGTCAAATTATATTATACAGTTGAAATATTATATGAGGTCAAATTTTTTTGATACTAATATAATTTTATAATGGTTTTGCAATATTTATATTTTTTAACTTTCAGATATATAAAATAAAAATGTCATTGGACAATAACAGTTGGTAATTGAATAACCTAAAAACTTTGTTGTGTACAATATGAAGACATGGATCTTTATTTCTATATTTATATTGTATACAATAATATTAATTGTACTTTCAATAAAATTGCATTTGGGTTATTTGTAATAAATAATATTTACACTTTAATAATACTGAATTTTTAATTCATGATAAATTAGATAAAAATTTATATAATTACAGTAAGTTGATAGTTGCTTTATAGTATTCATTATTAATTCGAAGGATTCAGATTAGTATGCACTAAAAAAGCTTGAAATAGTATACATTTATATAATTAAAATCTTTTAGTATGTAATTGATATGCTTTGATAAGTTTTTTTTTTAAAATTTTTAATATTAATTTTGTTTGTTGCCAAAAACACAAGCACATATTCATATTTTTATATTATATAGCCCAGTTTACAGTGGACAAAGGCCAAAAGGACAACATAATCAGTAATGCTTTAATTTTTATCTGAGCGCACGGCAGTGCGCCGACCAAGTTCTAGCAATGCCAGTGAATCTTTACACAAAACAATTCGCCCGGTTATTCTAACCTAGTGATGCCCAACCTTTTTCCTTTGGCGGGCCACAAAGTATAAAAATACAAAAATAATCTTATATATTGGACTTGTTTTCTTATCTTTTATAGTCTATTGAAAAGATTATAAATTGAGGTATATATAATTGTATTTTTTGGAATAATTATTTAAACGAATTCATAAATTTAAATAAAAATAATATATGAAAATAAATAATTTAAAAATTTTTTCATACATTTTTAAAATTTTTTTTTATTTTAGAAAATTCGTAATGGGCCACATAGAATACTTTCGCGGGTTGGACACCACTGTTCTAACCCGTATATATCTGTTTCCTCTTAAGATAAACTTTTGAAATTTAAAACACAAATTAATCTTGAATAGCTTAGGACCCTGTATGAAAATTAACTTTTAATATTGTACCATTTCTAAATGGGAGGATTTCAAAATTTGCAATATTGTAACTGACTCACTCACTCACTGACCATCAAAATTATAAGACACTTCCCGCATACCTAAGTAGAAACATGAAATTTGATACAAAGGTATATTTTACAGTGTAACTAAAGGGAAAAATCTAAAAATTGAATTTTTTTCAAAATTAATGCCGCTTCAGAGAATGTATTTCTAAACGTATAATATGGCACGCTTAGCACGCATAATAAACGTTTTTTTTCAAACAACGTTACAATATGGTAATAAGAAATTGTTTGTAGTTGACTTATATATATATTTATAAAATATAATAATGTTTTCGTAAATTTATTTTATTCAAATACAAAATATAATATTATTATTCAAATACAGAATATTTTAATAATATTCGTCAGTATATGGACGATAATTTTACGTGGTAACGTCATAAGAAAACATTGATCAATGTATGACTTAGAATGGATTCCGACCAAGTTCGAAATCATCAGCCGAGCTTATGTGCACCGAAATAAATTTCCCATTTGTTTAGCTTATGCCATTACCATCCATAAGAGCCAGAGATTAAGTTTGCCAAATGCTTTGTTAGATGTTGGCAACTCATCATTCTTGTATAGTCAAGCATAAGTGGCCCTCGCCAAGGTGACGAGCTTCCAGGGAGTTCACTTAATTAATTTTGATCCCTGTCAGGTGAAAGCCAAGGATAGTGCTATTGTTGAATATAACCGTCTAAGAACTTTATATAGGCCAGACTTAACAGAAATTTTATCTAAAAAGTATTGACGACGAAGAATAAAATACCGTACTTGGCCATCATTGCCTGGTATTGACAACGATCAAGAGTCTAAATTCGCAGCTCCTCAACAGAAACCCAAACGGTCTTACAAGAGAAAATCTACGACATATAAAAATAAAAATTAAAAATTAAAAAAATAAAATAATAATAACACGTCGTCCACGATGCTGAAGCCTGCAAAAATAAATTATATCTCTAAAAAAACTTAACGGTAAATAA